CTAAAACAGCTCCTACGACCACAAGTTTTTTACTCCAGTCAAAGCCATTCTCTCAGAGTGGAAAATAGACGATGCATTTTGCCACCCATTCCCTCTGTGCTCCTCATTGTGAATTCTATTGTTAGAGTAGCTCAAGGCTACTGACACTTGCATGCCCCCAACTCCAAATATACCAAGAGAAAAGTTGGAGAAAAAGATTTCCAACATGGAAATGTAATCAAAAGACATGCAACAAACACTACAGTTTGGCAGGGATTCAAACTCTGACCTGCATTCACATATTTATAGGTGGGAGAGCATACGTGTGCATATGTGTATGTGTAAGTGAGAAAAAGTGAGGAAGAATGTTTTAGTACTGCCAATAAAATGAATCTATCTATCTATCTATCTATCTATCTATCTATCTATCTATCTATCTATCTATCTATCTATCTATCTATCTATCTATCTATCTATTGATCTATCCATCTATCGGTCTATCGGTCTATAGATCTATTGATCTAGCTACAAGACAAACTATTCATTGTTGGCATCTAGCGGTGAAACTGATAACCTTCCAAGCGTGTAGAAGAAACTATGGTTGCCATAAAACTCAGGAAAAATAAGAAAGGCCCTATTTTGAGCCATTTGTCCCATTTGTGAAACATGATGGTGCAACATTGCCATGAAATTTGACACAGATATTCCATGATGTCCAGAGGTTGAATCCTAATGACTTTGGTTCTCTGTTGACCTTTTGACTTTAATAATTATGAAGTCCAAATTTTAATTTGTCCAATACTTCTTACTTATGACCAGATACCTTCAAAATAAATGATATCAACCTCAGCTGTACTTAGTGTTTTCTTTTTTTCATTTTAGCACACTTAATGAAGATGGTACACATTACACTTGCTAAACATCAGCATGTTAGCGTTGTCATTCCTGTTAGCATGCTGATATCTATCTGGAAAAACAGAAAATGTGCATGTCCTTCCCTTACTTTACTACTCTTTTCCTCTCTGTCACCCACTCGCCTCCCTCTTTCCAGATTAGCATACAAATGTGATGATATAATATAGGGTAATGCCGGGATTCATGGGGCTTTTCTAATGCACACACTTTGAATTAGTCAAAGGTCTTAGTGCTCCCTGGATGCCTTCACCCCAATCCACGCATGCACACTTCATACTCACTCACCATAGAGATGTAACACGTCCACAAACAGGCATGGGCACATGCACACATATACTGTACACACACCCTAATCAATTCCCTCCAGACAAGATTAACCAATCTATCTTCATTACGCTTCATTAAACAGATAACATGTAAGGCACACACAGGAAACTGTATTCTCCCATGGGCACGGACAAAGACGTTTGAAATGTTGTATCTCAATTAATTGTTTCTTTAGACAATACATCACGTTCCATTCATCTGTCATGATTGAGTTGCTCTCTATACACACCAGGTGAGATTACTGACAGTTAATTGCTGCTCTTAAAAAAGCTAGTTGAGCCACTTCCTCTCATCTCTCATTTAAATTCTCCCCTCTCCTCTCTTCTCTTTACTCTGTTCTTTGATCTTTGCAGTCACCTGTTTTTTTCTCTTCCCCTTATCCAGCACCAAACCAAAGCACTGAAGAAGAGATTGAGCTTCAATAGAATTTCCATGGCAACAGATTTTCAATCATACCTCTCCAATCACGTTACTCTGTCAGTTCGTCCAGGGAGGGCTGAATATGATCTGGTTTAGACTTTGATCATGATCCCACTGATCTTTCAATCAACATGAAATAATACTGTATCAGCTGACCTCCGTCTCCATCATACACTTGATTTGGATCATTTAGTTTTTTTCTCTCTTTCTGTTTCAAACACTGAGACCAGGCTCGATTTTATAGATATTTGGAGTTTGAGCTTCAGGCATGTATAAAAGTCAGACTGATGTTTTTGAGGTGTTGTTAACTGAGCTTTATGACATTTAATAGCAAAGCATTTATGTGTGATCACCAAGGCAGAGCAGCTTTTTTCAACTAACCTCCCATATCAGAGTCCCTGTAGTTGCAGGTTCATTTCTCAGGTCGCAGTGCTTCATTTTCACAGAGCCTGCAGCTCCTCACTCGTAACATGAGCATGAACTTGCCCACAATTGCAACTACTGACATTTACTGTTGTTACAAACAGTGCATTTTCTCCGTCCACCTCAGAGATCCCCTCTGTGCAATTTATTTGCACTGCCCAGATTCCACCACTCTTTATTTTCTGAGATTAAGGGAAGTTTCAGTCAATGTTATTGTAGTTGTGTTTGCTGGGTCAAAGGAGTTATTCAGTGCAGCTTGTTGTGATAGGGCAGCTGTAGCTTAGCGGGTCGTCCTCTAATCAGAAGGTTGGAGGTTCGATCTTCTGCTGCATGTCGAAGTGTCTTTGAGCAAGATACTGAACCCCAAATTGCTCTCATGAATGTTTGTTTCTGTTTTTGATGGGTGAATGTGGCAAAGCGAATTGAGTGGTCGGAAGATAAGAAAGGCGCTATGCAAGTACAGTCCATTTACCATAACTGTATCTTTTTGAGAAATATCCTGGCAACAAGCAGATGATTACTTATTAAGTCATTGTCATTTCCAATCATTTCATTTTCCATCAGATTGAAATGTATGTAGAATGGTTGTTCATGTAAAATCAAGCACATTTTTTGTATAATACACAAACACGGTATTATCACATACATACATAGGACTGAGGGAATGAGGGGCATTGGGTATACCGGGCCCTCGTGTGAAGAGGGCCCACAAAGAAAAGAAACTAGAACAAATGGTGGAGCCCATAAAAAATAAGTTTGTGCTACACCCTTGCATACAGCATTAATTATCACATCTCAAATTAATTGCAGTGTCACATACGCATCCACCAAATAAATCAGCTGATATCACAAATAATGATATTTCAGGGTCTTCACGCCAATGCTAACTTCAGATGTGATAAAAGATGAAGTGCAATTAATTTTGCAGCACATCAAATGATTTGCCATTTCCTCCTTCTGACCCACCAATAGATCTTAATAAGACATAGCATCTTTCCTAATGAGATGCCGAGACGCTATGTTCTGTACATGGCTAATTAGCTGGATTGCTCATTAAACAATTAGTCAGATATCTGTCTGATAGTCTCTGTGGCTGTTGCACTCTGTTCAAGTGTTTTGTCTGACATTTGCAGATATTATTCCTCTGTTAATTGAAGCTTTTAGACAAACAACTAATAAAAGTCTGCTTAACAAGTTGTTGAATATTAAATGTGCTTTCAGTTGAAGAGTCAATCTAAGTCATGCGGCCTGAGTTTTTCAGCATACCCTGACTGTGAATTTGAATTACCTCTGTTGTGAAATATTAGTGTGAAAGAATACTGCGGTTTCAATTTCTGCTTTTTTTATTTAGCCCTTCATCAAAAGCAACTCTCAATAGACTTAAACGTGTCAGTATGATTTAACCCAAGCGCTTGTCGGATGGTCGAACAGCATATGAAACCCATACCTGTCCAATATCTGATCATTTTTATACATTTCTAAAACCCCAGGCACACCTACTTCACAAAGCGATGTGTGGAGGTGACTAAACACAAAGTACAGTACAGTTTTTCAAGTAACTTTTTGTGCAGCACCATGAATGCCTTCCCATCCAAACAATTATCACGTCTCCCCATCCTCTCTGACGGCAGGCTTTTCACCCACCTTCAAATGTGGCCTTTCAGAGCAGCTCGAAACACTTGCCTGCGTGGTTGGATAACATGTCATTTGAACTACTGCGTTTGGAGCATACTCACACCTTTAAAGAACCATATCTGACACCAATATGAACTGTGAAACACGACACTTCAATGCAATCTTTCTGTAAATAAATTAGATTCGCTTTTCTACCTAAGCCTACAGTATCGTGGACACAGTATGTCCCTCAAAGTGAGTGAATCTTAACTGCTAATCAGATTGGCCATTTTGCTTCCTCTTTAACAAAGTACCTTAGTCTCCTCTGTGCTAATGGTGCGCATGCCAAGCTGACGTGGGTGGCAAAATAATAGCCGTTTTCTCAGGGGAGACCAGATTTATTCATGTAGAGTGGCAACCCTGACAAATTCTTTCTGATGTTTCAACTGTAAACAACATACAGTTAAAATGAAATAGTTCTTTCTATAGCAATACATCCAAACATCCAAAGTGTATAGATACGTGTGAACTTGCTTGCAATAGAACATGTTTACATTGTAGAAATTGGAATCTCAAAAAATGTGTCTTCATGCCGCTTTTTGCTGTAGAAAGACCAAATATGTAGACCAAATAGACTATATCTGCGCCGGAAGCAGTGGCTTTCAGGAGTCTTGTCATCACTGTGATGTTGCCAGGCAACCTGGGAGTCACGGCGCCAAGCTGAGAAATAGTCCAGCATGTAATCCAACACACCCCTTCTGTAAATAATTTGTCACCTTTACCCCAAAATTCCACCAGGCATGGTTTTATAACATTGCGTCTATGTCGTGGTTTGGCTCTGTGATCCACGTGACTTCAAATCCCACCGAGAGCGCTTCAGAAGTGGAGCGTCTTTAGAGTGTGTTGTCTGCAATTTGTTGGATCCAAGACAATGTTTTTCCAAGCTAGAGTCTGCACACTGTATTTTATTTTGAAAATTGACCAGATTGTTTATGCTGTTTCTGTGTCTGACTTCCTGCCAGTGCGACCTGCTTCACACGAGCAAGAAAGCGAATAAGCCTATTTGTCAAAATGTTGTCTATCTATCTATCTATCTATCTATCTGATCATCCAGTGAAAATCTTTTAGTCAGTTTCTCTTCTCCTGAATTGATTGACAGGCGATTATGCTGATTTAGAGTCCCTGGGAAAAGTAACTCTTTTGAACAGAGCTCAAACATTAACTTGTCTCCTTCTTTCTTTTGTCCCTCTCTTTGTTCCTCTCCCTCTTGCCTCCCTCAATCACTCCTCCTCCTCTTTTGCTCTCTCTCTATCTGTCTGCAGCAGAGCCGTTGGATGGAGAGGAGTACCTGGACATTATAGGCATCATGCGAAACCAAGCGGGTCGTTATGAATGCAAGGCCAGCAACGACGTCGCCACACCTGATGTCAAATACGTCAATGTGGTTGTCAGCTGTAAGTAACGACTGATCTATATTCTTACCTTGTTTCATGTCAGACGTGTCACAAGATGATACACTCAACATAAAAGCATATAAAAGTCAAGACTGGAGTTAAGGGTAGAGACATGTAGAATTTAGTGTGACGGGGCATTAAGGCAGTATCTTGAAAGTTTTGGAGTACACTTCAGTCTTCTCAAGATGAATCCAGGTAGAAAGAGAAAGATCTCTAACTTGATTGCAACTGTCATTCCCATGGTAATTCTCACGTACCACCATCATCATTTAAGAGGCACTTTGCATTTCAAAACAAGATCCCCTAATTACATCTTGTCAGGGATCCATGTTGGATTTGATGAGCGCAATGCAAACGTTGGCTCCAAGTTGATGAACACCTCAGGAGACACCACAAACCAACTTCCCCCCCAGAGGAGTTGTAAGATTCTCTTTGATCCGGACAAATCGTGTATGGCTGTTTGCCCAAACCATACTTTAGCCAAGTCTGAGTGCCTGAATCAAATGATAAAGATTTCTATATTAAACTATTGCTTAGTATTTAATCCTAAATGGAAAACAGGCATTAATCCACATCTGACATTGTGATGTTTGTAGAAGACATTATGTGTGTATGATGAATGTTAATAAACTTGATAAATTTGAAATTTTAGCAGTGATTATTCTTTGGAGTCAAGCTCCAAGTAATCTATTATACATTAGTTCTTGCACTATGAAAGCCTTAAGCTAGTGGAATTTTACAATACAAAATAGAAGAAACTCAATTCCTTCAGCTTATCATTGGTATTTGTCTATTTGTTTGCTTTTATTAGTAAAATTCGATACAGAGGATAAGTCATCATATGAAAGGGGTTTTTGTTTTCTGTGCCAGGCTTATATCAATGACCATGTTCAGACATACTTGATAAAATTAAAAGAAATTTACTTTTTAGGGAAAGAAAAACAAAAACTGAAGGAAACACAAGTGCCACAAGAGCTGATTTCATTAAGGATGAGCATAACACTTGACTACATTAAAGTTGGTTTGGTTTTAAGATTTAATGTATGTCATCTTTGTGTGACTCTGCAGACCCTCCGACAATAAAGAAAACCCAGAGCTCAGAGACTCCGGTGGGCCGCATGGGGACACTGCAGTGTGAAGCCACCGCTGTGCCCACACCAGAGTTTGAATGGTACAGAGACGAAAAAAGGTACAACTTCACACACATTTACACCATCACTCCCCACACCAATGTCACAAATAGACACCTGTACGGAGCTGTATACACCTGATCTTACCTCAGAAATGAATAAGCTCCAAATGGGCATGGAGAGATGACACAACATTCAGAAACATTTTGAATAGTTAATAACTAGGACACTTCAAGGTGATGCTGCAAGCCCAGTCTACATTTTTATGCTGTAGACCAATCAAGGGAATGAGCTAAAGAGCACGAGCCATATACAACCAGTCAGACAAGCCATTAAATAGAGCACTGGCCATTAGCCTTCTTTATCACAAACAAGTATATCAACTGTAAGACTGATCCACTGAGCCTGGCACCCTAATGCTCTGAAACCCCTTTATAACTATAATGATCTCCTGTAATGTTTCCAGGATGGAAAACCTTCTCTCTCTTACAAGTCGAATTACTGGAAGCAACAGTGTTGTATGCCTTCAAAACAGGTTGAAAAGCTGTTACAGTATATGGATTACAATAGTTTGGGAAAGTTTATAGTGGCAGATTCTGTATTGAAACATTCAGATTTTTGAAGACTGATTTATGTGATGATGGGTTGCAGAAATAACCACTATTTGACTTGACCTGACCTGCTAAATTATTTTATGTTGCCACCATTACAGATACAATGATGATGAGGCAAAATAATGAGATTTACATTGCATTTACTTAGGCGTGACTATGACAGCTGTAAAGAGGCCCTGCTGTTTCAATTAATGAATTGCATTTCTTTCTATAATAAAAATCATACTGATTGCTCCCTATGCCAGCATTTGGTGAGACCTGTATAAGCATCAATCTCACAGCCGTCTTCAAACAACAGAGGTCCAACCCAGCTTGTGATCTTTCAATGGCCTCAATGGAGTCAGAAGCTTTCTTCATACTTTCCTGAGAAGTTTTCTCCTCATTTCCTAACTGTGGCAGCAGCTTCATCACTTCATTCTTGTGCCTGGCATGCTCCGTATCATTTTACTCACTGGTTATAATGGAACTCTTTGATTCCTTTGTCAAATCTGCCCTCACAGTGGTCCCATTGTCACATCCCAGTGTTAATTTGATGGCATCATCTGTGTAGTTTGATAATGACTAATCACCCACTTAATCACTCACTAGGCTGTTATTCCATTGTTAATTGAACATTACTGTGTAAGACAGCAGTGGATTCTGTGATATTCTTTTGAGAAAAAGGAGAACAGATCGGTTGTTCTCCTGCATGTAATTTCTATACTGTAGTCACTGAAAATCTGAGTAACCCTTTTCACATAGCGCAAGTAATTCCAGTGAAATGGAAATCAGGCTTCCCGCGCTGTACTGTCCCCTGAGAAATTGCAAACTGTGTGACCAGACACAGCTGTTCATTGGAAAGCTATCAATTTAAGTGTCATGCATGTATCTGGAAAACACTTGAAGAGGATCGAAGTGTAATAACATTCAAAGGCAATGACAACCCAGACTCTCACTTGTCATTTAATAACCCGAGAGATTCCCTCCTCTGCAGCAAGCTCACCATATGAGTCCATTGGGGAAATGGAGGGGCTTGAATGGAAATAGCTAATGATAAGAAAATTGCACATGCAGAGCGCCATGATCTGCAATTTCACTCGTACCCAAACTAAAGCAGAAAAAGTTCAAGATTGGGAGAAAAATATTGGAGGAGTGTCACAAGTGTTATCACAGATATGGTCTCTAAAGTAATAGGCCTATCACAGCAGCGCTTGAAAAGAAAGATTTATGGTCGTTGAAATATTTTGCATTATCTGTTGTTTCCAACCTCCATCTATCTCAGTTGTTTTGTCCCCTGGAGGATTTTGGCTATGTGCCTGTTCATGGCCCCCTTCTCCCTCTGTGCCTTTGGAAAGCGTTATTGCACTTTCTCCTTGGATGATGATGTTAATGCACCATAATAATATAATTTATCCTTGCTTGGCTAGTTAATTTTACAGTCCCCTCCCCAAGAATCAAGGCTAATGCACTGTAGCCTGTTGTGTCTTATTTACCTGATTGTTAAGGTGGGGTCTCGCCTCAGCGCTCGTTTCCCTTTTTTAATTGGTTTAACCTAATCAACACCTGAACTCTGCATTTAAATCACAAAGAAGTGCTCGTCGCAGTTGCTTTCAAGATTCTCGGGTTGCACATACGCACAGTTACAGTGCCAGATTTACTACTCGCAATTCTTAGTAATTTTCTTAACAACGGGTTCTTTGTTTCAGAGGCAGACAACAGCAGTCTTCTCTTTCCTATCCAGCAGTTATTGATTTTGCCAGCCGAGCTGAGTTTTTGGTTTTGGAAATCAAAAAACAAGAAAACCTCCAAGCTCTTTAAATGTTGAGTATCAATCTTACTACAACCCCATGTGCAAAGCTTGAACATGTGGAGAAATCCAGAGTTTGATTGACCTGCCATGCCTAGTTGGTCACTGTTTGGGGAAGGGGTTTAGCAAACAGCCAGGTGGTTACTTTTGGAATACTCCCTTATATATTAATGCATTATATATGGTTTGTAATCAGTTATGGGGGCAGATGTTAGTGCAGCCATAATCAGTACTCGTGGACCTTTGACATGTTTTGATTTGCCAGAACCAGTGAAAAATTGCTTTTTTTCTTTTCTCTGTTTTCGTTCTCATTACCAGTATGATTACATCTGAAGCAGACCTGGTCTGGTGAACCATTTTTAATCAGAACAAGCCATTTTCCCAGGGTTATCGTGTTGTCAGTGAAGGAGAAAAAAAAAAAACAAAACACAGCACTGCACTAACAACTGAGAAATTAACAACTCACCTACTTTGGCGTGTGAAAAAGTTAGGAGAGGGAAACTTTTTAAAAATTATGTATTTTGATTTTAACCATTATTCCAGCCTCAAACATGAACAATGTTCTTTGATAATTTCTAAATTTTTAGAAGTTACGTTTTGCTGAAATGTAAAAGATTAACTTTTGTCCCTTGTTGAATTAAACCTTTTTTAATCCTTTTCTTTAGCTGTATTTTGACAAGATACCCTTCAGATGCAGAATTTATCTTTGCGAAGGCTCACCATATTTGACATTGATTAATTATTTTCCTTGATCCTTCTTTGTATTTTAAATATCTTTTGTGTCTGATTTGTTCATTTGGGAACATAAGTTAGTTAGTGTTAAAACTGTTACCCAAGTACTGTATGGAAATGTCTTTTTTATAGTGTGACAACCCCACAAATTTGTAATGAGACCCTGCCTCTTGGTCCAGACCTGTTCATGTTGACAACTTCCCACTTTTCATTCTCGTTTCCTCTTGGTTGGGCCATTTTACCCCAAACAAACACTCACACGTTTGGTCCAGTTATCTAGTGCCAAGTTGGAAAAGCAACTCTCTCACCTGCCCAAACAAATCAAACTGAAGGAGTTAACACCCCAGAGTTTGAACAAACTGCTTGGCACAAGCTGGTAAACACAAACTTGGTTGCAGAGCTCTCCCCTCTCTCCTCCTCTGACGAGGGAAGCTTAACTCTCCTAACCTTGTGAATATCCATCCAGTCAGTCTTAATATCCACATGAAAATGTGGACCACCTCAACGGATGAAACATAACTCATCCACTAAAACATAAATTAATCATCTCACATCTCTGGCTTCACCAGGATCTGAGAGTCTCCATGGCATTTAAAACTGAGTTAGCTTCAGTAGAAACCGATGCATCGTGATCTTAAAGCAGCTGGCCAGAAGATCATAACTGATACTATTACAACCTGGCTGTCATGACCCTCCCTGCTGTTTTTGCCTCTTCTCACTGGCTGTCCATGATTAAATTTGACTGAAGTTGTAAATTGGTTGCCCCTCTAGCCCTGTTTTTTTTCCATATGATTATGTAATGTTAACCCTAAAGGAGAAGCTACAAATCTGAGATTTCCAGTCCAGTTTTTTTCTGTTTTTGAGCTGCATTTTTATGTCTAAAGAATTATGTTTGTAGAATCAACCATTGTCAATCATCTTTTATTGTAAGGTGTTGGTCTTGTTCCTTGTGCAGTAAATCACTCAATCCATGTTTATAACATGAGAAAATCCAAAGTGAGCTGTTAGCTGATGTGACAGACAGATCTGTTTGTTGTTTTGTCAGCTGATACATGGCTGTCACAGCCACAGGACCGTTTTCAATCATCTCTGGGTTACAAGTCTCAGCAGGACTCTCCACTTGATTTCATTTATCATCGGCCTTGAATCATAACAGGCCTGTCACTTTCTCTGGCAGTGATAACCTACTTTAGATGCTCCCACACGCTACAGAATCAAATCTGTCAATCTGATGATTTGGTCTGGTCTTCCATCTCTACCGGTCTGCGACTGCAGCCCTTAGCACACACTGCATGCCCTTTGCCAAATACAGGGGTCAAGTCATTTCAATCTAGGGTTTAATGTACCAGAGTGGCTCTGTGCATCAAAAAATGATGACTTGAGCTATCCAGAAGAGCACTGCTGCCCTCTGCCTGTGAGGAAGGACGTCAAGTATGATACAATAATGATGATAACACTTGAAAAACTCCCCTCCAGGAAAGGTTGACGAGCACCATTTCTGCCAACTTCCCTGATAATGCATTCCAGTCTATTATGCCAGATGAAGCAGCTGGCAGAGATACAGGCATATTTGAGGATGAACTTGAAATCAAAATGAGAGAAGTTGCCGGCTGCAGATCTGCGTGTGCCAACACGTTAAAAGTTAAAGTGGGCAGCAGAAATGTTGAGCCCAATAAATGCTAATAGAAAATATAACGCACTTTGGGAGGCCAGAGATCTAGTTTCCTGCTCCTTACGCTCCAGCTTTCTGCTGCAGGGTATTTAAACTCGAACCATGTGTGCAAATAAATCTACCTCCAGTCCAACCTGAAACCTTCGCTGTGAAAACAAAAGAGAGTTCTGTCCCTTTTGACCTGTTTAGGTCAGTTTATTCCCCTGCATCACAATCATGCGCTGTAATCTATAGTAAAAATAGCTGTTTGCTTTCAGCTCCCTGTGGTGTTGTGTATAATCTGGGTCTCTCAGCATGCTCTGTGGGCAGGCAGGGCTTTTTAATAGTGCAGTCACTTCTCATGAAGACACACTGGAGAATATATCTGCTGCTGGCCTTATCGTGGGAGGGGGGTTTGCTTTTAGATGAAGTGGGGACACTCCTGGTGCACTTGCCCTCCCTTAGGTCTCTCTTTTGCTCTCTCACTTTCAGACACACACACATGCTGCCACCGTTCCCAAGGTGTCCCTATGGGAAGGACCTCAGCACTTTATCAAGTCCCCACTCCCCAGTGAGCCAAATTATGCTGTGCCGTGATGTGCGTTTTCCTTTTTATGTTAATACTTCCTATCAGCCAATTTTGTGTCAGCATAAACTTCTCGCTCCCCTGCTCAAATTCCGATTACCACATTACCCAGACTTAAGCAGGATTAAGTTGAGGCGCCTTAAATGAACTTCACCTCATTCATGATACGAAAGGGCTCAATCAGCCCAGAACAAGCAGAATCCATTATGTGCATGCCGTTATTAAAAGAGTTTTATTTGGTTGTGATGATGTAAGGAACAGTTCATCAGTGAGGTATACAGTCTGAGTCAGCAAACTGTATTGATTAATTTGTGCTGAAAGGGGTTCAAGGTTGACATAATTGATTGTCAGAAGTTTGGTGGTCATTAAGACTCCCAGAAGTGCAGGGAAGGACTTCAGCAGCATACTAATATTTCATCTGAAAATGGGATAACAATGATCCTGTTTGTTCGTTTGACGACAACAAAGTATTCTGTCAAGAGCAAAAACATGTACACACTGTACAGTAAATATCCACGCGGCAGTATTTCCTAAGCAATATTTTTTCATATTTGCACATTGTGTTGGCTGCATTGTCATGTTTACAAGCCCAGACACTGACATTGCCTCTCAGAAAGCTGTTTTCTTTGCTCACCACATAACCCAAAGGTCAAGGATTGCGTTCTGGTAAATGCAGCATTGTGTCAAACTGTTAATGAAAAAGGTTAGTTCCAAAGGCTTACAGTATCATCCCTTTTAACAATCTCAACTCCCACACTCTGATTAAGTTCCCTGAAATGACACTAACCCATGCTTTTGCCAGCACAAAAAGTATAACATTAATCATGGAACATAATTGAGTGGTTACGGTCTGTTATGTATGTGTTTGCATAGGAATTTTATCTTAAAATGTCTTATTCTCCGCCTCATTATGCAGAAACTGTCACATATGAAATAATAAAATATAATTTATACACATAGAAATGTAACAGGAATGTAAGCTGTTGACAAAATAAACACTATTATAAGTAATTTCTGAAGAGATTCATTCACAGAAATCTATTTAATATGACAGTACGTTCCAGAGGCAGCAGTATTGAGCCTCCGGGATGTAACACCACATTCGGAAAACAGCTGAATCCTGTCAGCCACATTGTGCCGTCTTGTCATAAGGCTGATAATAATGTCTATTTTTAAGCCTGAAGTAGGTTATGACTAATTTGACAAATAATTGTGTATTCTCTTTCAGTATGAAGTCAGTATTTTCTATTGGTTAATTAAGCTCTGGTGAAATGACCCTTTGCCTTTACAGACACTGCAAACTTTATAATTTTGCCCAAAATGTCACTAACTCCCTTCCGGCTTAAACTCCTCTAATGTTCATTACTTTGCAATTTACTTAAAATGTCTTCTGTCTGTCTCTCCTCTCCAGGCTGTCCAATGCCCAGGGCATCAATATCCAAATTCTTGGCAGTACCACTATTCTCATGATTGCCAACGTCACCGAAGAGGATTATGGGAACTATACCTGTGTGGCCTCGAACCGACAGGGCGTCCAGAATGCTAGTCTTTTCCTTTATAGTGAGTATAGACACTTCTGCCATTTGCTATAGCTCATGATTTGAATCCAAAATGGAAAATTGTTGTTTTATTAGAAATTCGTAGCTCTGTATAATTGTGACACCTCTAGTGATTTTATACCTCAACAACAGAGATAAAGTATTGAGAATGAAATACCACAACTTGGTTATAATATCACCTCTATGTTTGAACAAACCATCATTCAACTCATTGAGAGTTTCAAGGTGAGATTGAATTACTTTAATTCTATTAACCTAATTTCTCATTGAATCATTGGTGAACTCGCTGTAGTTGTGTGCTTTTCTTTGAGCTTGACTGCAAGAGCTGAATAATTGGAAGCTAGTATTAGAACAAGAACCTTGCCGTGTAGTCATTTTTAGTCATTTGGCTAACGGGGTACTCAACTCTGCATGAGAGCCATTTTAATTGAACCCTCGTGGAAATCTAAGTATGTGGCTGGAGAGGGAGGCTGGCATCTGGTATGTGGGTGAAGTAAGGTCATGTGGAAAGGTTTTAACTCAAAGGAACAGGATACTCTCTGAACACCCCTAAATGTCACAAAATAGGACAAGAGTGTACAAAAGTTCAAGTTCGTCTTTTAATTAAAGAGTGTAATTTTCAGCTCAAAATCAGAGTCAATCAGAGTGGTGTTTATATATATTCCCTAATGTGCCCATTATGTGATGTACTACAGACCTATGTATGAGGTCAAATCAGTATGACAATACATACAAATGAAAAGTAAGATTTGATAGGTGAATAAATCTGTATTTGGATGTCATTGTCAGTAATAACGCCACCACAATCATAAGCAAGTTAATGTTTGTAATATTTATAAAATTGTAAAGTTTTGGCCACTAGGGGGCAGAAAAACATTTAAATAAGTTGTAGATGGCCTCATATACATTCAGCATACACAAGAGAAACATTTCAAAAAAGTCATTTGAAGTGAATTTCCAACTACCCAGGGTCCAAAGTGCAACATTCACTCTCCTTTTGGCTCTTGTTTTGGTTTCCATCAGCTCCTCCTGGCTCTTTAGCTGCTAGATACTAAAATATATTCACCAGCCACTCAGTAACAGTTGCCAATTGATGCTGGGCTGCTAACATACGGGGTATTTATCAGAGTACATATGGAGGTTGATGAGAGCAGCTCAGACTAAACCATAGTGAGCCAGAAGATGCCAAAAAGCTCAATTGAGCTACAGAGTTGAGTGATAATCCTCCATGATTTTGGCACTACAACTGCCCTCGTTCTCTTTGTACGGATTTATTTTTACAAACTTTTTTAATATTTGAATCTTTTTGTTTTTGGAATGCACCTTGAACACACCTTGAACAGTTGTTTCAAGGATTGCAAACGGAAGAAAATAGCTTGAATTGCTCTACAGGATCGAGCTTTGAAACATGTTGCGCTTCACACTTCAGCGATGTCACAGCAGGTGTTTTCCATGGGTGCTCTCCAAAACATACATTTGAGCCAGTTGGACATGGTTTCCACTCCATTCGGTACACAAGTGTTGGCATCATACACAATACAGATTGATGACCATGTATTTCACATGCTCGTAACGGCTAGAGTGAGATGAGGAGGCAGCACTTAAAAGCTGTTTGAAGATGAAATTTACGTTTACCACAGTATATCCACTATTTACTGCTGTTTGATTATTAGCTGATACAGAATCAGTGTCAAAACTAGCGTGTCCTAACTGCACTATATTTAAGCTGGTCTCCTCGCCCGTGCCACTGCAGAGGCTACCAATTGGCACAGAGGCACGACTAAATAGAGTACCACTCTAAAAAGGGAAAACATCTGCTGTGACTTTACTAATTGGGGTTTGACCAGAAGTGCTACATGCTTGAAGGTTTGAAGCTATATTGATATCAGTGCAACCACAGTTCTCTTTCCTGTGATGCTGATGATCTGATGACATTCCAACAGTGGCGATGAAGAGCTCAGTGTACTGCAACTTAAGAAAAGGCATACAAAAAGACAGAGGAGAAAGCTAATTAAGGAAACACCTTCATCAATTTGACAATGTGGAGCATTTATAATAAAAATGTTAGGACTAAGCTAAGTACGAACCAAGACACTCACCGTGAGGAGACAGGGATATGCAAAAAACAAAGCATTTGTTGTGAAGGCAAGGAAAGGGAGTGCAGTCTTTGGGAAGCATGGGCTGGAAGCTGGGAAGGGCGGGGATCCAGGGCAGGGAAGCAGAGCTGACAAGATGAGACGAGGGACTAGAGACAGGGGCCAGAACCGGAGCAAACAGGACGGCGAAGGAAACCGGAGACAGGGTTAGACGAGGGAAAAGACTGACGACAGGAAAACTGATATGAAAAATGGCTCAAAGCGTAGACTGACTGGTGCAGAGGCTAAGTGGTAAAGCTGAGTATTTGTAGAGGTCTTGATTATTGAGATGGGGTGCAGAGGGTTTGGCTCTGCTCTGACTCCCATACACCTGTCTCCGGTCACACAATCAAACACACACACACACACACACACACACACACACACACACACACAGAGAGAGAGAGAGAGGGAGAGAGCCACAGAAATACGTCATGGACCTATTTCACAGGAGCCATTTTGACATAAAATAGTAGAGTAATCTCATGAGTAGAAAAGGCTTTCCAGTGAGCCAACATGCACAATAGCAGCACCATGACTCTGTTTGACCTGAATGGAACAGAACATTAATTGGTGTCATTGCCTGTGTTTACCCTTTTATTTCATGTCAAAATGGCTGCTGTGAAAAAGGTGTAATATGTACTATTATTTTAATTGATAGCCTAGTAATCAGCAAAAAGCTGAACATTAGATTAACTGCAAAGACTGGCAATAACTAATCTGATCAGAATCTTGCATTTTTTCTTATTGCTATGCATGTGTTGTCAAATTGCTGAAGATGTTTTCTTCATTTGCTTGTGTTCTTTAAGCTGCAGTATGATGAACTCTCAGTCCCACCACATATTCCCCAGTTTATGCCTCCTCTGTGCTCTCTGGAGCATGAATCGGTTTTGAGCTTACATCGCAGCAGTCAATAGCACAACATGGCCACCAGATGGCACCGAACACCACTCAAAGTCTGTAGTTAGTCTGTAGCAACTAACATTACGTTGTATGTATTTACTGACTCAGTTACTCATTTAGTTTAATTACTCATTTATAGAAGAAGACCATATGTATGTATATAATTCATTACACCAGAATACTTGTTTGGTGGTATTACTCCTTTGTTAAACTGGATTTCAAAATGGACTGCTGTCTACAGTAGTAGTATCAATATTATCTGGGTGAATGCTCAAGAAAAACAAAATAGGGGATAAATTGTAAATTGATTGTAATCCTTCTTCTTGATAAAATTCAAATAGTGCCTATATTTTTTTCAAAGTGGTGGGACTGCCAGTCTGAGTGAGCTCTCTGACACTGACTCTGACTACTATGTTAAATCTCTCTCTCTCTCTCTCTCTCTCTCTCTCTCTCTCTCTCTCTCTCTCTCTCTCTCTCTTTCTCTCTCTCTCTCTCTCTCTGTGTAGGACCTGGGACGGGTCGAGATATCAACGGCTCCGCCTGTGTATCTCAATCACTGTGGCTCCTGCTGGCCTGCTTCGCCTGCCTTTTCTTCAAGTGTTAATACCGCTATCCTCCTCCTCTTCTTCTTCTTCCCCTTCCTGGCCTTCCTTACTCCTCCTCCTCCTCTTCCTCCTCCTCCTCCTCCTCCTCCTCCTCCTCCTCCTCCTCCTCCTCCCCCTCCTCTTCCTCCTCCTCCTCCTCCTCCTCTTCCTCCTCCTCCTCCTCCTTTACAGCTCACCGACATCCTTATTGCTACCTTATTACCAACTTTACCGCCCCCCAACCCAGACTGTTTGCATCATGATATGAAAACCTTACGTGCTCTTTAGCACTGCTTACAGATATTACAAAAAGCGATGGGTTATGAGTAAAATGTTATAAGAACAACAACAAAAAAAAACAATGAAATGAAGGACAGAACAAGCAAACAGTGCTCTCTTAAAGAATCGCATTGTTCTTTTTAATTCGTATGCACTTCTTTGTTTCTGCTATATCTTGTCTTCGGGGTCTGGAACGGGTGTGTTGTGTTTTTGTCTTCATGGGAATGAAAGCACAGGCACCCCGCTCACAAGGATGCCAACAATCATTTGTTTCTAGAAGTACTGAAGACGTAAGGTGTATTTCTTCTTACTCCCATAGATGCATTATGTTTACTTAAATTTTAGATTTAACCAAGTGTTTAACCAGTGCATTACTGAGCAACATGCAAAGTATCTGCCAAATATTCATAAACTATATAAGATTTGAAACTAACACATGCAGAAATCAAAGGGAAAATACTGCAGCTGATTCTGTAATGAGATTAGAGCTTGATATTAAAATCTGTACTACCATAATCTGATGCTACTAGACTGAAGCAAAGATATAGAGCATTAGCCGGATATCTCTCCAATCAATGACATTGATTCTAGATGCAGCAGTCACTTGGGCTGTTGCCACCAAGCCCAAAATCGAGGATGCAGTGAATAGAAGTGACTTGATCCCACTGAGCTTAAACCATGCGGAGTGCAAACCTGAGGAAATTAGTTTATCTGCTGATGGATACCTACATCTTCATCCAGTGGCTTTGCAACCACTCGCCTTTATTCCAAAAGAATTCCTCTTTTCTTTTGCAACAGGAAAAGAAACACAGTAGGTTATAATGATGCGTACTGTACATAGTAAAATTTTGTATTTCTCTATGATAAGACAACTTGTTCTGCCACTGTAACAACAGGAAACAGAGAAAATTGTTGCAGTGTATGTTGCTTGTTTGACAACCAACCAACCGTACTGGGCAGTTTGTCTCTGCTCCACAGCAGGCTGCACCCCATTTAGCTACATAATACTGTACCACATACAGTGTTTGCTTTTAGCTTATGAGTTTTAGGATCATTCTTCTATACTGCTGGAATTTGGATAAAAATGTATGACACCAATGAATGACTTACTTTTTAGTTTTTCTCTTTCAAAGAAGTATGTGTGTTTTAATATGAAATGATACAGAAAAATTCATAATATATTGATATTGAGGTTTTTTTTTTCTGTCTTTACCTCATTCATTTAAGTTGTGTGTATATATACTTGAATCCAATGTCCTTATACTATATGAGAAAAGGCAAATTTTATGTGTCCATGTTTCTGAGTAGGGTAGCAATTTGTTGAGGATGAATAACTTGTAGATCTCTTGAACTGGCCACCCTGCTCTATCATGTGAACTGAAGCCCATTATACAATGATGTTTTTTTTTTTTTTTTTTTTAAAAAAGGTCTAGCATTAAAAAGAAGATAGTTTTGTGCAGTTATTATTGTACTTATTCTTGAGATGATATAAGTGCTGGCTTACATGATGTTATAGGGAATGGAATATTATGTTTAGCTTGTAATGCTCTTTCATATACCAGGAATTCAATATGAGAGCAGAAAACACATGAATGCTTATTCCCCTCAGTAGCCATCAAGGCAAGTTTAACAAAATGATACCACTAAATTACATGTCCCATGGCAGATTTTCTCATCACACTGATCACTGAATTTATGTCTTTACGAACAAAGTGGTTCAATGGATACAACATGTGTCATATTTAGTTAAACTCACAAGAAGAAGATCTTTCAAACAGTTTTCAGGAAACAGCTCATTGCTGCTCTGATGAGAATTGCTGAAACTGGTGCACTATTAGCTGCCTTTTTTCGCCATTTATTTTGACCTACTGTAAGGTGACTAATAGCGTACGGACTCCAGCGCCCAGCTCAGCCCCTCGACTGGATGTGTGTTCATTTCTCCGCTCTTCTAACAACCAAGCCGAGATAGTACTAGTACTGTAAAACACACGTGTAATTAATGTCATCCTTGTCATGCATTAAAGACATTGTTCCCAGTGTTTTCATTGTAAATGCTTCCTGAGGCCACGACTGTGTGACTTTGTAGTGTTGGTAATGCCATATGATCCAGTCTAGTTTTCATGTGGGTGAAACAGTAGAGCTATAGCTGTACAGGGACTAAAACAGGCCATAATGGCAGCAAACTATGAAGCATTTAAACGGTTAAAACAGCATTTTGTCATCTCTATTAGTCCCAGCATTAACCAATACACCAAACAATAACCTACAATCAGATTTCCCAGTCTAGGAAGTGATAAGAAAGCTGCTTGTTTTTTTTTTTTTTTGTTTCTTTTTTAATTTATTTTCTACAACTGAACAACTCTGGTGTATCCACTTTAACGTGGATTAACTTGACTCCTGATGTTTTTATACTACATTGGTCCTTTTGCAGACTCTCTTGCCGCTTTTTAGCCTCTGGTTGGCTTAAGGATGCTAGTTTATCAGCAGCCATTATCTTCTTACAGCAGTAAGAAGTGAATGATCTGAAAACTGTGGTGAAATAGTTCTCTCTGTGATCAGTTTGCATGAGAGTGGTCTGTGCTACATGTCTGTTTCAGTAAAGTCCGTCTGTCTCACCATGTGTCGTATAATAAAACCTCAGGGCAGAGCTAGGCTGGGACCCTGACAGACTAGCAGAGCAGGGTGGAAAATCTCCAAATTGTGCTTAGCATTTATTTTAACCTGCTTGGAATGCATGTTGGGATGCATCATGGCAAATAGCTTGTGGATTTTTTTTTAAAGCAAGGATCTCAAACTGACGGCCATTTGCAGGCCCTCCTTCCGGCCTGCAACATGATGTCAGAAATATCATCTAATCCAGCCCTCAAGATCATTATTTTTTCATTTGTTTTTTCTATTTTCTATCTATTAAACATTTTTAAAACTATTATATTTGCAAAAAAAATTTTTTTTAGCGTAAAATATTTGCAAAGGTCCAAGGTGCCAAATGCATGCAAAAGGTTAATAAGATGTAGCAGGCTGCAAACAACAAAGATGATATAAAATGATGATATAAAATTGTACAGAAAGTACTGTTTGCATTTTGGTGATGTTAGAAATGGAAATATTTGTAGAATCTTGCGCTTTCATTTTGAAGTGGCCCTCCTGTGATATTAGCTCCCAAGCCAATCTGCGTTTGAGACCCTTGTTTTAAAGGATGCTACACTAACGTCATTGTCTTAACTTTCCTGTGAGTCAAACCTCATTAAAGTGTATCCATGCAGGTTAAAACCAGCCAATAAAAACTGACTGATACCAAGACCCCTACTATAAAAGCCATGGAGCTTTGTCTTATCCACAAAGCAGAAAGGCATAAGGAAACAATGTCATTGCTCATAGAGACCAACAGCCAGCCTTTGGACACATCACCAACCACCTGTAGACAGACCTGGATATCTACTGAAGACTGTAGGAGCAGATTCCTAGTTTACTATTGAGCACAGCCTCAAAACATCACCATTGCTTCACTGTTGGCTTATGTGTGTGTGTGTGTGTGTGTGTGTGTGTGTGTGTGTGTGTGTGTGTGTGTGTGTGTGCTCGGATTCTGTTAATTATTATTGACCAACCTGAGAAGTTAACACAAGGCATGAGCTACATGACGAGTTGGCCAAACAGCGAACCATCTACTTTCCGTTGATGGTTACAGTGGTAACCCTCTATTTTAAGTTAAGATTCTTTCTTTCTTTTCCACCTCTGTGTGTATATACAGTAATGTTTCTACAGTAGAATGTTGTAAAGTCAGCAAATCCATAAGATCGTGTTTATACAACTCAACATTTAAAAGTTTAAACAGGAAATGTAAGTATCACGTTTATACGTCCCTTCCCTTTGTCATGGGAAATTAAGATTCAGTCATGATGATGACACAACAATGTCCCGGGGTTTTTTTTTTTTTATATTTTACCTTACTTTATTATGGCATAAGGTGATTGCAGTCAGTTTCTAAAAAAAAATTATATGTAATAAAGGTATATGAGAAAATGTTCATAACACAAAATAAAGTTGTTTGAATTCAATGTTCTGTATTTGAATGTGACTTGAGATGTCTGGGAAAGTAACCTCTTTTTCTGGAGATAGCTTGGCACACACAGAACCGTAATGGTACTGCTGTGTTTATCACCATGTAACATGCAAATAAAATAATATATGTATTGTTATATTCTCTCTGAAAGACATTTTTGTATGTAAGTATGAGAATTATAACTTACTCCGCTCATCGTCATGGGAATGTTCCAGTTTCTGTCTATTTTTTGTGCCAAAGATGGAAGGTAAGACTGGTGTTATCACATATGGACACGCATCATGGCAATATGGCACAGGAGCCACATCCTGGTGCAGTGAAATGTTTCACCACAAGGTGTCATAACAAGCCAAATTATGCCTCCACTGTGTCCTGGTATTTGGCAGAATGAGGACAAACATATTATTCTGCATCATGATTAGCCTCTGACTCTGATGATGAACAGGTGTCAAAGGTTAGAAAAACACACCTGTAGTGGCAGTTTCCTGCTCAAACACCCACACTAGCTGGGAAAATGTGGGCGGTGAAATTAGATGTTATTTTTTTATATACTGTATACCATAACTGTTATCATGCGTAGACAATGGGTACAAGAGTAAAAACATTTTTTTGCAATTTTGTTTAAAATTATGGGATGAGACCAATTTTAGTCCTTGAGATTGAGGAGATTGAGGGATTTGAGGAAAACAAATTATGACAGGACAGTGCTGGATTATTTGAGTCTTTTTCAACTTTCAAGATAGGAGTATTGAGGAAGGTATGGGAGAGAGTATGACTCATAAGGGAGTGATAAAAGAAACTTTTCAGAGAAATGATTCTCATTCCAGTACTGCTTGTTCAGCAAACCAGCCTCATTAGTGTGAAGGTCATACAACTTTTGTGAGACTGAGGATGGTATTTATGTTAACCTTGGAGTTATTATTTTTACTGAACCATACTATCTTGACAGAAGTCACACAGGTCCCATTTTAACTCTCAGCAATTGCATATGCTCTTTACATAGCATCTTTAAATAATTATTTAATTCTGATAATAGAGATATGTAAGACTGCTGCATAAACATACACACTAATATCACATTTATAATCAGATATTTAGAGTATTGCATGTAAACAATGGTTTACCTTATTCCTGGTTTATCATTAACATATTCCATCATTCTCTGTTGGTACATAAATGAGCGACTGAGATGTTATGGAATCAACACTGCTGCTGTATGCAGATGGTCAGAAACTTGGATTCTGATCCAGGGATAACAGGGTCCTCATGTTTCCCAAATAAGATCAAAACCAGGATAAGACTTATAACTAAAACATCAATGTGTATTTTGCATCTCATGCATGTCAAGTGTTGCATCTGCTAATGGAACATTTATAAAACAGTGGTTTTGCAAATATTTGCTAGTGTCCCTGTGTAACTAGTGCATCGAAGTGAAAAAAAGAATAAAGCTATACAGCCAGTTCCCAATGGCACAAAGAATTGAAAACAGTTAGCCTGGTTTCTTGTTTTACTGGTTCAACTGGATCAACACCTCTACCTAAAGCTCACTAATTCACATATTATGTCCCTGTGACACTTATAGGTTGGACTATTTATTGGCTGGACTTCCCTTAGACATGAGCAACCTCAAAGCCACTCATAAAACTACAAATTATGGTCTTTACAGATCTGTTTTTGTACAGATTGAACAAACAGACAATATATATTATAGTGTGCTTGAGACCTGCTGGTATAGGCTTGGGTTTTTTCTACCTTCGCACAAAAACCAGGCTAGCTGTTTCCCCCTGTTTATGTCTGATTTATATCGAACAGACAGACATTAAAGTGGTATCGATCGTCTCATCTAACTCTCAGCAGGAAAGAAAAATAAACACATTTACCCAAATGTCAGACTATCCCTTTGAATACAGTCTTACACCCAAACACTGCATATTCTACCCTCTGGATCATTTTAACATGGCTTTAAACAAACTCCACAGTTTATGATGGTAATTGGCACATTTGCTTTATTTTGAAAACAGACATTGAAACCATTTTTAGTTTTTTCATATTTTTTTTCTCACAAGTTTGAACTCCTTGATAAGGTTGAAACTGGACATTGCACTCACTGGAACATGGGAAAAGTATTTTTTGTTTGCTCATTTGTTTGATTTTTCTTTTTCACTTTTTTTTTGTAACATCAGTGCAAGAGTATTTTTCCAATTCATATAAACTGTCATAACAACACCAAAGACATCAAAAAGAAGCCGCCACACCTCTTAAGTTTTTGTGACTGCGAAAAAGTTCCTCTCAGAGGGAGAGTTCCCATCATGCATCTGGTTCGATGGTTCATGCTACTGTTCTCACGTTTGGTTGTCAGAACACAAATCGTCATGTAAGAGCCAGTTACATCAATACTATAGCTGAGTTCTATAGTTTTATTATATGATCATGTCATTGAAATAGCAACAGGTCCATTACTGTATATGTGAGTAAACAGAGAGTTTGTAAAAGGGGTGTAAACCAAGCTTGAATGACTCAAGCAGAATAGAGAGAGAGAGAGAGTAATAGTCTTGTCCTATATGTGGTTTTTGGGTTCAGGATAAAGCTGCCCAACTGGAAATATCACACATTTAATTATACATTCTATTCTCTATCCGATGTGTCAGTACGTTACCTATTTTTGCTGTGTTCTCAATACGCTTGTACCGTGTTGAAAACGAGAGTTGCATTTTTAAAACCGGCTTGTGTTTGTGCGTGCGTTTGCAGAAGTACGGATTTTATTTGTAAAATGTGTTTAAAGAAAGTGCATTGCAATGCAAATAAAGTATGCTGCATTCACAATGCCTTTTAAATGTGGAAATATCCAGTTGGGAGCGGTCACACCACCACTGATTCGCTTACAATAGATAGTGAAGATGTACCAAATCAAATACTCCTTCTCCTCATCATCATCATCATCATCATCATCATCATCATCAAGGTAACAATCATTTTTCATACTGAACATCATCATCATCATCATCATCGTCATTATCATCATCACTTCCTCATAGTATTAGCTTGAGCCAAAAAACTTCACGCTGGAAACTCCCCCAACATGAGAAAATCATTGCCACACAAAAAATGACAAACAAATAGAAACGGACTGCCTTCACATTGGGAAGGCAAAGAGATTTTTGTTTTTGTGTTATTCTTCATACTCTTAATTCTGCTTTCTTTAGGTTAGACTTTGCTTTAGTCATCCTTGGACTCGGTGGCCTCCACCGCTGCATCTGCTGGGGTGGCCTCCTCTGCTTTAGACTCCTCTGCAGCATCTGGGTGGAGGGAGGGAGGTAAGGAGGATGAAGGGTAAAGAGGGAAAGCGAGAGGAGGAAAATTAGATGTAAGGGTGGCAAGACAGATAAAAGGTGGGTTGGAGAGAGTAAGAGAAAATTAGCCTGTGGAGAGGCGGTTTTACATTGTGGGGTCGAAATAATAAAGCTCTATCTGGGTCTTCTGAGATACTGAGCATCAAAGATTTCACATGTCAGCTGCTACTTTTGATGTTTTAAACATATCATCTCAGAAGGTTCTCCATAAGGTAACTATAAAAATTCAGATATTCCAGAAAAAAAAATTACGGTGTAATTGCATGTTGTTGACAAGATGTCCACTCTACTAAAAGTGAGAGCATGTCAGTTAAAAGGTGCCACCTTATGTCTTGAATCCCACATCGGTTGTGTAAATAATAAAGGAAGAGAGTGTTCCTAATGGACCCATGAAGCATTTGAACTGACATCACAAAGCTTACAGCAGCATCTGTCACATCTGATACTGCCTGATGCCCTCAGTGTACTGCACTGTAATAACATCCAGTGGTGGCTTACTAAGAGGTAAATACTGCTGAATAACGATCCATGATACATTACTAAGCCATTACTAATCAAGTTTGTCGAGTAACATTGATCTGATGCTTTATATTTTTCTATGGTTTATTCGATTCTGCTTTTTGTAAATCCTGTGCTGTATGCTATTTTGCTGCTTTTATTTTTATATCTATCAATCTATTGTCTATAAAATCAAATGTAAAAATGTCTATCAGCTACAATGATTTTAGGACCTTCATTTTATTGTTCCTGACCAAACCTATTATTCAAGTGCCCTGAAAGCGGTGATGTCATACCATGATGATCTCATACTCTTTTAATAGAAAGAGGAGACATCAAAGAATGACATCATTGCATTGGAGATTAGGGTGATGTAGTGCAAGTGTGTGGGTGTGGGTGGGTCTGTGTATGTGAGGGCTAGGCAAAGAGAGAGAGAGAGAGAGACAAAGAGAGAGAAGTGGGGCAATCATGTCCGTGTGTGACTCAAGACAGCATGGTAACTTCCAGAGGTAACAGGTAATTAGCTTGTTAGAGTATGACAGACTTGAGAGTGCCTTTCTTGCAAACACTGAGCTTTGTGATTCAAATGCAATTTCACCCAATTCACAGAACCCAAGCCGTCATTTCTGGTATTCTGATCAGTGCCACCTCACTTACCTACACCAATGATATAGCTGACTGTGATGATTTGTAAATAATCAGAATTGAAGATGGGAAAACAAACGCCCAACCTCTGGTGATTGTGGTTTGCCAGTTCAGCCCACGGATTTCAGTTTTCAGTAAACAATGGTAATGAGAGCATGACACACAATTTTCTGTGGAACTTAAAACTCAGACATAAAGTAGAGCTGAAGCTGAGGGAAGACTGGCACTAAGACATCAATCATCACCACCATCAGTATTTTGGGTGCACACAATATGCTTTTTCCAGCTTCTATTTACATTAGTAATTTTATTTTTAACATAAGGATGTCTCAATTATCATTCTCATGATGAAGACCATGGAGCGTAGACAGGAGTTCCGCAAGGTTTAGTTCTGGCTTCACTTTTGAGTCTTTGTTACCATTAGGGGTCTTCATCCATAATCATAATTATTATCCATTATTACTGTTATGCAGATGACACCGAGCTCTATATGGTTGTTGATCCTGATGATCTTTACTCTCTTGAGAACTGCGTCTCTGATATCAGTTTATAGATGACAAAACAGAGGTCCTTAAAGAGAGGTTCTTAAGATAAAAGAAAAAATGTCTACAGTTCATTACACTATTTTAGCACTTTACACCTCAGGCAAAATCTGGGCATTATCATGGCTCTAATGTAACTTTCTAGCTGCATATAAGTTCTATCAGAGAAAACTGTGTGTGCTTATATGTGATTATGGAGTGCTATGTCACTATTCTATGACAGTTAACAGCTTGGTCAGATGTAACTAAGGGATGCCGCTGACATGGATTATGCTTGGTGGAGAATCTGGATCATACTCAGGCTGCCTCATAAATTATTCAGACAGATCAGAGTACCTGGCGTCCTTGTGCATGTGACTCCGGTCTGTGCGCTGACAAACCTCAACCAAGTGACTTTGTTATAAATATTAATTTTCTCTCTGAGTCAGTTCAAGTTGGTAAAGCAGATTGTGGCCAGCAGTGCATTTTTAATTAGCAGTTTTTGTCAAGTAGTGTTTGTTTGTGACAGACTTCCCCGGTGCAGATCGTGACCAGTAGGGATCATTAATCATTCATTGAAATCAGAGCACCTGTTATCCCTGCTCTGCTCCATGCAGGCCAGCTATCCCATCGAGGTGGTAACTATGACAACAGGGAGACAGCGCTGCCTAGGTGACCTAGTTTCCTTGTAGTTCTCCAGTTGGTATGTGTGTGTGTATTTCCCACCTCACACACCCACTTACTCGAGACTGAGCATGCTCCATTAACTACCTGTCTGACCCAGACTGAGAGTCCTTGGACCAGAAATATGAGATCATGTCAAGTTTTTGTTGTCAGAGTTGTGAGTTGCTGTATAAATGTTCTAATGTAATTTCATGGCCTTTTAGTTTCTCTCAGGTATACACTATAATTGGACATCAAATGGTGGTTTGCTTTGAAATCTACTGGTTGATGTTGGAGGTCCAGAGGGCGAGCTTATTATCAAATATTTTGACCTGCTGTGATGTGTAAAAAGGAATTAATGGGGTCATCCATTTTCACCACTATTTGTGTTTTAATATGAATAAATTACTGTAGCATATGACCCATCTGGGATGTTCATGAACCTTTATGACTGTCAACATGACTGCGACACTAGCCCATTATACATCAACATTCTTCACCAGCACTAATCATTTCTATTCCAGTCTCCCACTCATTAGTAAGGAGTTTCCATCTTGCAGATGCTGAGCTACAAGACTGTCTAATCTAATATTGAGCTGTGTCTCTGTGTTAACCAGTGAACGGTGGAGCACTGCCAAAGATCTTTAAATCCCAAAGACTCAACCAGCAGTTATTTCCTGTGGTGTCTGCCAAGCAGACTATGGGAAAGCTTACCTATTCTTCTGTATTAGTATTTTACAGTAAGTAATTGCTTCTGATCAGTCTGAAATTATTTTTAACTTGCAAACATGTACACACCTAAATGTTAGATTCAGAGTCTTGAGAACCTTCTTGCAGGTTCTATATTAGTAATCTTATTTCATTTGGCATGTAGTGGGGTTTTAAATCAATCTCACTGTAATTAATGAAGCTTATAATCTGCATACCTTTATCTTTTGTTTGGTTAGGCTCCTCCTTCTCAGCTGTCGGGCTGACAGCAGCAGGCACATCGGCTTGTCTGGCCTCCTTTTTCTCTTCACTCTCCTCCTCCTCCTTTTTCTCCTCAGCTGTGGCTGTGGTGGGACTCTTGGCTGCCGCCGCTGGGGCCTCCACCTCTTTGGGCTTCTCCTCAGCTTTCTCCTCTCCCTTTGGCTCCTCTTTCTGGGGCTCAGAGGGCACTGTGGCAGCAGTAGGAGAAGCAGCAGCTGGTGCTGCCGCTACCGGAGACGTCGCCGCGCCTGCAGGAGAGGCAGCAGCAGCTGCAGGAGAGTTAGCTGGCTTGTCTGCCACTGGGCTTTTGGCTTGGCTTGTCTCCTCCTCCTTCTTGGCCTCCTCTCCTGCAGCTTCTTCCTCCTTTGCAGGTGCTTCCTCTCCCTCCGCTTTCTTTGCCTCCTCTCCTCCCTCTGTCGCCTCCTCTGCAGCAGCAGGACTGTCTCCCTCCTTTTCTTCCTCTCCATCTTTCATCTTTTTCCGAGTTATGTGTCCACGGAAGCTGGCCTGTATTTTGGTTGCAGCCTTGTGGGCCTTGTCCTCGGGTTTGTTGGTGGTGCCATCCTGTTCAATCTTCTGGTCCGCCTCCTCATTCTTCTCCACCTGGTAGCCAAGAGAAAATACAACAGGTTAACATCTACTATAGGCCATCGTGCAGGTCCACTGCAAACCAGTAAGGGAATGTATTGTTGTTATGCTAAAACTTGCAAAGAATCCCTCTACTGTTGGGGTGTGTAGCTTGAGGATGGTTATCCCAAAATATCATGCTGGCATACTTTTATTTGGGATTAGAATCCTACTAAAGGTAGGTACAATATGTCATGAGTTGAAAGGTCAGAAGTCAGAAAAGGACTAACGTATATGCTATGACAGGGGGTTTAGTAGTTAACTGATGTATTTATAACCATTACTGGAGAATTACAGACTAGGAAAAGTTGGGTTAGGTTCAGGACTGTTTTGGAGTTGAGTGAAAGTATAGGACTGGATGAGGAACAGGGTTAGGAATAGGACAGTACACAATGTAATATTGATATTACCTTCGGTAACTGGATCCATACAGTAGCTGTCCATCAAATAGTGGGTTGTGCTATGAGTCATATAAATCTAATGAAAAGAAATCAAATCAAATAAAGGAATGAATGATGAGCACTGAAAGTGGCAAACAAAATGAATCAGTACATTCAAAATGAATAGGCAAACAAATCAATGTAAAATATTCTCCTGCCAAGATTCAACCAATCAAAAGCTTTAATTGTGCACCTTAAATGAATGTGAATAAGCAACATGGAGCAAACACAAATTGTCAAAGAAGCATGCAGGCAGTGCAGCATTACAGTTAGCCAAATGATAAAGATGTGAAAACTGCAGAATCTGAATGGTTTTGAGGGGTTTTGTCCTTCCAAGTATCAAGGCTTTGTCAGGAGCCAGCTATTGATGTGACAATATAGTGAATACACAGCATTTTATCATTTAATGTGCTGGAAAGAGGAGATTTAGTGCCATTGTGAATCCTGAGAATAACAGACGTGTGTGAGGGTCGATTGTCTCCGCATAATGAATTGGTTACACTGGGATTTGGGGCAGGACAAATCACTCTAGGCATTTATTGTGGTTATTCAATCCGGGCATGAGGTTGATACTGTCCTCTTGATAATGGTACTGAAATAGATTTAGTGAATAATTACACTTAAGCGTAGAACCTTTCCATGGCATTCATTAATGTCCCCTGCATTCACTGCTAATGATATCTTCAAAATTGTAACCAGAAAAATGTAAGCGTTTAAAAGTGAGGCTCTTTCTCCAAAATAATGAGCCAATCTCTATTCTCTAGGTACAGTAGCTTTCTACGGATCCATCTCTGGCTGCTAGGGAACGAGCTGCCTGCTAGAATCTCCTCAGCATTCACTGCCATACCCCTCGCAACCATCAAAGGTTACCTTGACAACCAGAGTGCTAACTCATCACGGCGCTGTCTGCTGGTTGGTGGTATGAAAGACTATATGTCACCCTGATTGGCAGTGCACCTGACCCCTCAGGGGAGCAGGCCAATAGGAACTCGTAAATCAGGCGGAGCAATCAGCATGGCTAAGGAGGGGTTGTGTGTGAGCAGTGGTGGGGGGTGCAGTATGGGTAGGGGGGCCGAAGGGGTTATATGTGTGTGTATCAATTCTGGCAGTCTGTGTCGTGCCATTGCGTCTTGTTTAAGGTCAGTGAATTTCCGTGGAAATGGTTTTCAAGATGCAACTCGGTAGCTACATCCATCAGTCCCTTTCCTGATGCCTTCTGTCTCTAATAGTGTCATTATATTGGAAATAAGGTTTGACTTGGACAGCTGCCTGGGTTAGGAATCACATCTGCGTGACATGATTTAAGAGCCAGAGGCCCTAAAACCAACATGTCTTTTTCAGGGTCAGTGTGTCAGTCCAATATTGGAGCAGAGAGGCCAAGGTGCAGCTGTGTTGGTATATTCACCTCCTCCACCTTCATTCACATGCCATCCCCAGGGTTCAGGGTGTAAATCCTGCCCAGGGCCTTCCTGCAGTTCTTAATATACACCCTCTTCCAGAAGCAATTTTGTGCAGTGCAATATTAAAAAAAAACAGCACAATGCTGTTGGCTGTGGAGGGATAGTAGATTTTTTAAAGGCTTTACGCTGCTTCACAGATATAGTGATTTATGTTTACAAGCTAAGCTAGAGCTTTTTACTTAACAATCAGCTATTAAGTGTGAAAATTAACTTTAGCAAGTGTCCAGTGTCTTTTAGAACAGATAGCAACAGTTGAGACAGATAAAGCACCACCGGCACGCCCTCTGCTCTTAATCATATGCAAGTCTCTGGTGACTTATTGGACTTTTATTATATCTGATCTCATAGGTGCTTACAATTGCCAAAAAAATGACCCAAGCACTTAACTCTAAATAGAATTACTTACTGGCTGCATACAGTGAGTCAGACAGAGAGAGAAAGCGATGGATGAGGGTGTTTGGGAATATGGGGGTATGACATCATTATTGGAACGGAGAGAATGTCATTTACTTTAGTGATCTGGGTGTGTTTGAGCGCAAATGTAATAAAATACCAGCAGAGTGCCAAGTGATCTCATATCAGCGTAAGAAGACGGGGAGGAAAGATCACCATCATGGTTCGACCACAATTGTAGCATCATCATTTGAATTATTGATATTTGTCTGTGCATCACCCTCAGAAATGCTGCGCTGTCATTTTATGACTGCTCTACTCTGTTTCCATAGACCATGAGATTCAGCACTGAGCAACTTGGACTCATATCAAACTTATTATACTGTAATATACAATGCACCAGTGGTTAATGACTGAGATAGTGTCTACTATAAAACCCCATGTTATCGAAACAGAAACATCAGTGCAAATCCTTTAAGAATCGCTTCTTGAAGACTCTGACTGTTAACTGAACCCTGGTCACGTACCCTCCTGCAGGCGCTATTCCACCCGGCGTCTGTGCAGCACACATTTCCATTCATAAAATACACCAGCACCTCCCAAAGGTACAAGGTATACTCCCTTTAAGTCTTCACACTGAGACTCCACGACCGTTTCAACCCTTCCTTCGTTCATTCGAGTCAACATATTTGCATTATCAGGTTAATGGAATGACTAATTACAATTAGCCTGCAGAGCTTTCTCTGGTTGCCATGGATACACTACATTATTTTATCATCCAGCAAAAAGTGGATGTTTGCAATATAAAAGTGCTTTTCTTGCATGATTGTAAAACAGATTATGCAATCCTCCAGCAATTATAATAGTAACAGTATAATGTAGCAACATTGAAAGCTTGCTGTAGGACACTTTAGTAAGTGTAGGTGACAAATGATTACTGCCATCTTCATGTTCAGAATCTAAATGTACTATAGCTCACAGGTTAATCTATCTGAATACAAGAGTTCCATTCACTAGGGGACAAACGCCTCTGTCTTTTCTGTCTGTAAAGGTAATAAATGGCCGTGCTAAAATGTGTTCAGTACATTATCTAACTGCTAGATGTGTCTATTACTGCTTTGCCTGTCAGCTGCAGTCTGTGCTCTCTCTCTTTTTCTGTCTCTGTCCTTGGGTGGGCACCGGCTGTCGTGAGAACCACACCCGAGAGTCAATGGCTTTACCGACAGATCCATAACCACGCACACACTCACTCACTCACACACACACATACACACACCATCCCCCAATGGTGACACACAGTAACAATCCGCCACCTTCCCACTGCCTCATTGCCAGTACCATTAGGGACTTGTTTCAGGAGGAGGGGGGTGGGAGGGGAGGAGAAACGGGGGAAGACACGGTGGAGCGGTGGTGCTTATGTCGGTAGAATTACCACACAACCACAGCTCACACCAGGCATGCATATAATCAAATTTTTTTTTTTTTTTTTGTTATTTTTTTAATTCTGATCCATTCAAGCAGGAGACTCCATTTTCACCACGCCGCTCCGCCCAGCCTTGGATCGAATGCCGCTAGCAAGAGGGGAGAGAAATATTAAAGGTAATATTTGCATTTGTAATGGAGGAGTTACAGAACATTGCTTCGCTGAGGCCCTTTTATCACACACCCAACAAGTGCAGCTACTGAATTTATTTGACGTAAGTCCCTTTAACGTGTAATTATTGAAGATTTGTGTAAATTAAACCAGATTATTACAAGTAATAAAATATATAGTGCATTGGCCAATTTAAATCAAATGGAGAATGTCCCCAAACATTTTGTCATATTAGCACAGGAGAGATAATATAAGCCACCCTGGTGGTGGCACACATACTTCCTGCAATGACACCTCTCTCCTGAAAAGCCCAGCATGATTTGCATGGCTGTCTGTTTTTCTGCAGGAACCATCCAGACACCAAAGACCAAAGACCGGCTGGTGTCTGCAACTGCTCAATATCTCCCTCTCCTTCTTTCTCTTTCTGTCGTCTTACACTCTCTTCCTCACTGAGCAAACTGCTACCCACTCATTCTCTCTCTCTCGCACACACACACACACACACACAAACACACACACACACACACACACACACACACACACACAGCGGAGCACCACACCCTTTTAGCCAGCTATCTCCTGCAGATGAGGAGAGGGGGGCTCAGGTGGTGACTGCCACAGCCCCCGCTCGCCATCTCTCTCTCCAATCCCTCCCTCTCTCGCTCTCTGTCCTTTGACGGTGAATTGATGAGCGATGTTAAAGGATGCACTGTTTCTTTTACCACGACCCGGGAAAAGATGCTCCGCAGTCTCTAATAAGCGGCCATATGCCAGCGTCATTACATCCTCTGGAGCTGCCTGTAATTCAATTACACAGACTCTCTGCCTGAACAAAGGCTCCGCAATCGCCACTGATATCACAGGGGCAGAGGATGAGGTTGGGGAGAGGGGCAGTGGGGCTGAGGAGAGGAGCAAGTGGAGAGGAGTTGGAGGAAAAGGGGCTGTAGGTTTGGACATGGTAAAGGCAGGAACTGGAAATATGGGCTGTGGCTGGTGCTATGGCTGAAGCCAGGCTCTAGTGAAAGAGGCTTTAAATGCATGGGGAGCCACAGTATCAGATGAGATAATCGCCTTTAAGGTTGCAGACAGGGTTTTTAAGTCTGGTCTAGATTTAGGCTCAACCTGAAAGTGGAGGCAGAGCTAGACGGGACAGGCAGGTATGGTTCTGGTGCTAGGAGGAGAACTAGGAATGGAACTGGGGCGGAGATGGAGAAGAGCACATATGGGTGGGATCTGAAGTCCTGGTTTATGGGAGAAATGGCAGCTTTGAGTAGGCCTGGTGGTGGAGGAAGACCTGAGTTTAATAAAGAGCTGCACTTTAGATGGACCTGAACTTGATCCTTGATCTTACCCCAAATCCTGAGGCGAGGACAAGGATCTTCTGTTCTGACAAATTTTGTTCTGAAACTGCATGAAACTAAAGATAAAGAAAGCTCGGGGGCTGTGGCTACTGAGGAGGCTTAAATGAAGTGCTAGTAGCCACTCCCATAGTGGAGATGTTGCAACAGCACTTAACACTCCACAACGGGCAAGACCCACAGCAACACTGCCATGTTTCAGGCAGAAAACCATGCTCTTTGCTCATCCATCCATGAAGACCACAGAGTCTGTCTGGATTAATTTATGCCTCTGCTCCTCAAAAGCAGGAGCATGAGGGTAAGTGCTTGTAGGCCTGGTGGATATTTTTCCCTGTGGTGAAACGCGCACGCTCGAGCGTTCTGTGGGAAAAGCCGGTGCCTCACCCACATGGCTGCAGTGTGCAGCGCGCCGGCTTCCTTTTCTTTGATCTTTCTCACCTTTGCGCCTGCTCACCTCCTCCAACCATCATCCCTCACTCTGTCACCGCCACAATTCCTGCAGCCACCCTCCAGCTTCATTCCCTCTCTGTCTTTCTGCTTTGCTGCACGCTTGCCTCTCCCTACCTTCCCCCATACCTTGCAACCTCCCTCCCTGCCTCAATCGTTTTTTACCTCTATTTCTCTGCCTACTGGGTTCCATTCGCTCCTCTTGCATCACCTTCCCCATCTACCTCCATGTGCACCAGCTATACTCCACCCTGCCGCTCGTTCTCTCCCTGCCTGCCTGCATCCTGCTCTTCCTACATGTCTTTCAACTGGCAAGCTTTGCTTCCTTTCTCTCTCTTCTCCCTGCAAGTGCTAATATGACTCATCCAGACTAACATTTAAGAAGCAATCAAGTGCCATCACAATCCAGTGTGATATGAGTCCGATAAAATCATGCTCAGTTTGAGATAGCAGCAGGAACACGGCCCTGATCACACACAGAACCACCATGATAGCTGCTGAAATACAGCAGAGTGAAGCACTGGAGAGTGCCACCCTCTCTACTGTCCAGACCCACCCGCTTCCATGCAACACCTTCTTTTCTTTTCCTTTTTTTTTATGATTCTTTGCCACTGAGAATAGCCATGGATTATTATAAACTACCCAACACCACCCTTTCACACCCTTTAAATAAGTGCACACTTCATAGCACCCTCCATTGACAGCATCCACTTATAAAGCTGGAGGGCTATGATAATCCATTTAGACTCATTTATTCCCATTGTATCCCCCCGAGGCCACTGACATGATGGTGCTGCTCACTCAATCTGTACCCCGCCCTTTTTTTCCCTCTCTGTGGAAATTTACTTTCCTGTGTCACCCATTTTTACCCAAGATAACATAAGTACAAAAGAGACTAAGACCTACGTTAAAGGCATCAATTAAGAGCATATAGGTTGCTCCTGTTAATATGAATCATCATTAACAATGGTGGATTACGCTGAAGAGCTCCTGAATAAATGAGGGAGTTTCAGCTTTGATAGCAGAGACAATACAGAATCTATCAAGTGCCTTTCAATAATCTTTCACTTTTTTCAAGTGCCTGATCAATATGAGGGAATGCCCAAGCTGCCCAAGATCGAGTTACAGTCTTGTGCCTCTCTGCAAGTACAGTGTGAGGTCTGAGAGGCATTGTGGCAACATCCATTCATGCGGGATAATCACATTAACTAGGCGTGTCTGGGCTCTGTGGATAGACTTCTATAAAGACATGCCAGGCCCCGAGTCAAAGGAAATTACACCAATATTTCCTCTAATCCCCCCTTAAGCAACCTGATCTGGCTATAACCTAACAGCCACAAAGTTCAGAGGTGAGATGCATCATTTTGTCACATGAAATGTTGATAAAGTAAATCAGAGCAGTTTACCGGTTTGGTTCTTCTTATGCAGCACAGCATAGTTGTAGTTGTTGTATCCTCCCTTTTTCTTCTCTGCTTCTTACTTCCCTTTTTTCCTCCCTTACACTTCTTCTATCTCACCCTTTCTCTCTCTCGCTCACTCTCTCTTTCTCTCTCTCTCGCTCGCTCGCTCGCTCGCTCGCTTTCGTGCACACACACACTCTCTCTCTCCTCTCTTTCTCTCTGGCTGTATCAACAGCTAAGCCGCCCAGTGCATTTACTCATCCCAGTTTGCACACACACGCTCTTCAGTCGGTCTGCCTGGACGCACCTCTCTCTCTCTCTCTCTCTCTCTCTTACTCGCAGCCTGACAATGACTACAAGCCCACCCTTTAAACCCCTCCCTTCCCCTCACTCCCTCCATCCCTCTCTCCTCCCCTCTTCCCTTCACACTATCCCCCTCCTCCTCCTCCTCCTCCTTCTCCTCCTCCTCCTCCTCCTCCTCCTCCTCTTCTTGCTCATAGTGATGAACCCCCCCACCTCTTTTAGATCAGCACTCCTCTCTTCAACATCTTCTCACCCCTCCTCTTCCTCCTCCTCCTCTCCTCTTTCAGCCTGGCTCCAGCAAAAGCTGCGGCCCCACCCTAAAAAGGCTCTCGCTTAATGACTGACTGGATACCTCCAATTTTTTGGCTCTGACAGATTCCTTTTTTTATTGTGCTTTATTTTTGTTTCTCTCAACACTACCTCTACACCCCCCCCCCCGTTTCATCCCCTCCCCTTCCACACACATAAGGAGGTGTCTTTAAAAGAAGCTCCCCAATGGAAGTCGCCTCCTCTGATTGCTCAGGCTCTCAGACTGTGTGTTATACACTCTCTGGGTCTCTGATTAGTGTTATGAGCCTGTGAGATTTGCGTCCAAACTGCCCCAGCGATGCCAAAAGCATGTTTTCTGGCACAGCCAGGAGGGAGCAGCTCTTGCCAGGAGAGACGTGTGAAAGAGAGCAGTGATGATCGCATGAGGCGCATGCATGCGTACACACACACACTGTGCTCTTAGGACACGTCACCCGCACCGCCAACCCCCCCCCCATACCCAGCGCTCTCTGTTCTCATGGAAACACCAGCAGATAGACTAGAAGAGCAGAGGAGGAGGAGGAGTGTGTGTGTGTGTGTGTGTGTGTGTGTGTGTGTGAGAGAGAGAGAGAGAGAGAGAGAGAGAGAGAGAGAGAGAGAGAGAGAGAGAGAGAAAGGGATGGCAAGGCAAGAGGAGGATGCAAGAGGGCCGGGTGTGGCAGACAGGCGGGCAAGGCAAACTGCCTCTCTTTCTCCCCCCCCCCGTGCCCACATTTTACACACAGTCTGGTTTAATGAGCAGGCACAGCGCATGCATTATCACCACAACTACATTTATAACCATTACCGTACAGTGAGGCTTGCAGGCGCATGCTCATGCAAACACCCACACTCTGTATTTGTCTTTCATAATACACACATACACAGACACACACACAGACACACACTGTGGTGTCAGAAGAGTCCCCACCCCCGCTCTGACACCGGCGCGCACCAGCAGATGCTACAGCCACAATGAGGATGGAGGGAGAGATGGAGACCAGGAGGGTAGAGAGAGAGAGAAGGGTGGATGGAGGGAAGAGGAGGAGGAAGGGTCCAGAGGGGGTTGTGCTCCGCTATTCTTCTCTCTTACAGGATTATTCCACATCCAGTTCACTGAGGGGAAATCATTAACCTGCACCGCTGAGCCACAGCCTTCCCGGTGGTCGCTGACTGCCACACAGGCACATCTAGCACCATTACTTGGCTGTACTACATCATCACTGTGTCATCATGTCCTATAGCGGGCCGTGTATGACACAGACGCTGTAATAATGCAGGGTTCTGCTGAGTACGCATGATCTTTCTCAGCACTGCCCTGCTTTACTTCTATACAGCAATGCACATTCATACAGCTGACACTTCACAGTCCCCTACTGGGTCACTTTACTGGAATAACTAGCAGATAAGTGCTTTGCGTAAGGGAACTCACTGACCTTCTTTGTCCAAATTTTGCAAAGTTTTCTGAGATCCCACTTCTTACATATGCAGAATAGAAGAATGAAAGGAAAAACCTGAAGAAACCAGAGGAGAAACATAAGGATGAGTTTCATGAAAAAATATGCTACGGCCTTCACTAGTCACCAGATTAGATTACTAGTCAATTAACTGATTAGCTGAAGGAAAGAAAATGGCAACAGTTATGATAATCAGTTAATTATTTAGGTCTTTTTATATTAATAAGACAAACAATCACAGTACTCCTTTCTCAAATGTGGATATTTGCAGGTTTTCATCTTCTTCTTCCATATTTAATTAACTATAGGCTACCTTACCTGCAGGCATAACAACCATTTTTCCACATTTAATTTTTCACTATTTTGTAACAAATTATAGACCAGTAATTTATTAACAATATAATTGGCAGATTAATCCACAAATGAAAATGATCGTTAGTTGCAGCACCACTCAACTGAACACCAGTGGAGAGATGTGTTAGACAGCGCTCTCCACTACCATCATCAAAACACCACATCTCCCTCAGTGGAGATTCAAGACTTGGAGGTGTTCTGGTGGCTTATGGTGGCCCAACACCTTACTTTTGTCACCCATTTTGTATTGTGCTGTTCTAGCCTAGAGATTTTGATCCAATAGCATTGGCTAATTTTCTCCACATGCAATTTGCTGTATATTGCTGAAAAGGTTTCCAGCCTCAACATTTAAACATCAAGTAGCAAATCACTTCAAATCAAATCCCCACACTGCACCACTACAACTCCTTTAAGAGAGGAATAAAAAAAAAAACAGCAGCACAATCCTATAACAAATAATTAGGATTGCCTAAATGAAAAAATAAAAATCCAAACACTCAAATCCCCAAGAGCCAAATCAAGCTGAGGCCAGGGCGGCGGGAGCTAAAGAGAAGAGAGAGAGAGTGTGTGGGTTGGTCTTTGAAAACAATCCATCTGCAATTGCAGCAGGTTGGCCAGCAGTTGACAGCAAACCTACCCAGTAGCTGCTCCTTATCTTAACATCTCAGTATGCTAATCTATGTCCAGTTATTTGATTGTCCTGTTAAGCAGCTGAATCTGCTGCTGCACCGACCACAGAGATCAATAATGTCACACTGTCTTGTCACACTGTATCGAGAAGCTGTCAAGAGGTATGTTCTAACACTTTACTGTAGGTTGCAATTTCTGTAATTACAAAGTCATTTTTGTGGTTTCAGTGTCGTTTATTATTAAGTATGAAGTCTCAAAAATGGGACACCCAGTTTACAATGTGTTACCATTTCAGCTAAACCCACCAGCCTTTGTCACATCATCAGCTAATGTCTTCTGATTTGTTTCTCTGCCTTCTTGAGTGTGCCTTCCTTTGGAGCAGTATAAGTTACCTTTATTTTTATGTAAACTAGCTATATTTAAATAAAGCACACTGTAAGTGTTGCATGTCAAGTATTGTGCCACCTCCAAGTGTGCCTTCTTCTTACAGGTGGCATAAGAACACCCTGAAGACCGGAGCTATGGTGTAGGACACAGTCATTTTATACAGCAATAAATACACTGAAGTTCACATTACTCATTTTGTTCTTCATTTGTTTAAAACTAACCTAGGTGATAATTATGTATATGAGACAACCCCATTTTTACATGTAAATCTTGCCTTGTGCAACTCGCACTGCAAGTCGCATTGTACATCAACAATGCAGTCGGTCCTTTCAGACTGACTGTGATGAAGCTCCTCATTTGCACTATGAAGGTCACTGAAAGACAATAAGATTCACATGCAATCTATCCACTGCAAGTTGTCGTCAAATATCAAGGTACAAGCCACATTTACTATACCCATTATAGTCAATCAATTGCACCTTACGAAGATGTTAAAAACTGTTGTGCGTAGCATCTTATCCTTTTTTTAATTGTTTTACAAGAGCAGGGCATGTATCAGTTTATACATATACAGTTTGTAAGACTGTCAAAGGTTATGTGAACTATACTGTAGGTAATTTATTCCTCCATAAATGTAAGGAAATTAATATGTATTAAATAATGTATGCTCTTCAAGTGGTGATAAACAAAGATCACGTTATCCTTTAACTGACATATTCCCCAGAGACGCTAGCTCATTAGTGCAGAGATCAAACTGAAGCATTTGTAGAAGACATATCAAAATGCAACACAAAACATTATGATTTGAGTGCTGAGCCCCTGTTTTGAAAGCGTAAAGCTCAGAAGTCACAGCTCTGTCTGCTGTCTGTAATGACTGACAGCGTAGTGGTGTTGAACTTTGATTGCTCAGATTTTCATGTTGTAGAAAAGAACAGAATGTGAACAGTCACCACAAGTGACCTTTTTGCATAAAACATCATCATTACCTGCATAGTGACCTGAACTCATGTCTTTTATCATGCTAAGTGATGTGTTATGGGTGTTATTATGGCGAAGCACCAATACCAGTGGGGAAAAAAACATAAGTGCAGGCTGCCAGAATGTCATGTTAAAAGATGATTCACTGTTGAGCAGATTTTACTGAGCATCATTGGAGAGGAAACACGACTTACAATCAATGAACGGGAGTTTGATTCAACCAAATGTCAAAATGAAGCATCACAGTGAAGCTAAGATGTGTGTGTATGCCTGGCTGCTTAAATATGACAATGAAACATTTGAGTGTAAAAGAACAGATAAATGGAGAGGAAAGGAGTTAATAGCGTAAATCTACCATGTCTCTGCCTTAAAAATGTCCCCCAAGAATACAGTCATAAAAAATATTCACAAATGTATTCATGATAATGATAATGCTTTGTCATTACAACATTATTGTCATCACTGCAAATCTGTTGTAGTATGTAAACCCAGACATATTACAAATAAGTCCTGAATGTTCACAGCCTTCACCACGTTTCTTTTTCAGGATTTGTGTAGCATATAAATTCCCATGTGACTATTCCAGGCCAGAAGCCACGCCAGTAAATTAGTGATACACTCAACTGGCCATCTAACAAGCAACACCATAAAATGAGTCAAATACAGTGAAATATTCATGAAATATTCATGGATTCATTCCATCCCTGTATCTTACTTGTACCTTTATTTGTTAACACTTTATTGTGCAGTATAGTATTTGTAACATTTCAGTTATTAGTTAAGATTAAGCACTTGTTTGCTGATTTCACCACTGTGGTTAAGGTTTGATTAGGTTTAGACACAAAAACATCTTGGTTAGGGTTCATGAATTGTCAGACATATTCTATTGTCACAGACAAAGCAAAACAGTGGAAATGTTGAAAAAAACTATATAAAC